TAAACCCTAAACCCTAAACCACGCTAGCACCGCCACTCTCTTGTAGCACAGACAGGGGTCAGAAGAGTCAGAACTAGTATCCCCTTATAGTCCCTAATAGAGTCATCCAGTACAATATAGCAAAATGCACCCCGGGCCGCATCTTAGTTGTGAAGGTCCCGACAGTATAGAACCTGCGGCGAAGGAATCGGTGTCTCAGAGTTGAGGTTTAGGAATGTTCCCTGGATCCCAAGGTGGAACTTCAGCTTCGGGGCTTCGGGGCTTAAGTTCAGGGTCTCAGGTTTAGGGTCTGGAAGTTCAGGCCCTCCCACCCACCCACCCACAAAGCAAACTGGAGTCCTAAACCTTCTCTACCCCGAAACCTTGACCCCTAAACCCTGAACCNNTAAACCCCAGAACCCCGAACCCCAAAACTGGGAGCTCGCACCAGGTCCAAGGCAACGAGCGCCCAGGCGACGTCGATCAGGGAACCGCCGCTCATGGGCTGAACTGAGGCGGCTTTAACTTTAGGGCTTATAGGGTTAGGATTTTAGGGCTATAAGCTTTAGGGTCTATAGGGCTATAGGGTTAAAGGTACCTGGGTTATAGGGTTTAGTGGTTTAGGGTGAATGTAGACTTTTGTTGTTTTGAGCGCTCTTTTTCCCGCTGCAGGTTTATCCAGAATCCCTCCAAGGGAAAGCGGGCAAAGAAACCTCGGAACTATTCATCATCTTCATATCAAGGATCCTATTACGTAGGGCCACGAGGATTCGGCATGTCATTCGTATTCCCCATAAGCCCTGACCCCCAAGCACATTTTCGCAAATCCAAGACCCCGATGCCTCCACCTGGGCTGTCGGCATACTGCTTGACTAAGGTACGCCTGGGCGGTGTGGAACAGAGGTATATGGATTCGGGTTTACGGTTTAGGGCTTTAGGGTGTTGGGTGGTCTGAAGTGCAGGAGTTGCACTTTTTGAGCTCAAGGTGTTGCGTGGCATGTAAGGCTTTGGGCCAAAAGGTTTTGGGTTCAGCCGTGTATTATGGGAAAACGCCGAGTGCGTGTGTGCACGTGCACGGGTGTGGGTGTGGGTGCGGCTCTGTGTGTGTGTGTGT